AAATAAATAAATAAAATAAGCACATATACTTTTGGGGCGCCTGGGTGGCCCAGTTGGTTAAGCGGCCAACTGTTGATTTTGGCTCAGGTCATGATCTCAGGGTCATGAGATCGAGCCCTGGGTCGGGCCCAAACTCAGCACTGAGTCTGCTTGAGATTCTCTCTCTCCCACTCCTTCTGCCCCTCCCCCTGCTCACTCTCTCTCTCTCTCTCTCAAATAAATAAAATCTTTAAAAAAAATAAGCACATATACTTTTTATAATCAAACCCAATAACTTGATGCTGAAAAGACAGCATGTTAGGTGCCAGCCTCTATGTTCTCCACAATGGCCCTGCTGCCCTCCCAGCAGCCTAAATTTTATCGTTACCACAAGCCTCCACGAGCCACACTGCAGCTATCCCGGGAAGTCCCCTCTGCTGTCTGGCCTCTGTGGGTCATGCTTCAGCCCCTTTGGCAGTAGAACAACAGCCTTCCCATGTCTTCAGAGCTGGGGAATCTTACCCTGGGTCCCTCGGCAAACTGACCTTGAGCGGCCCTTGTGCCCCACATTCTCAGCTGCTGCCTTTCCTCCAAGAAGCCAGACATCTCAGCCACCCAGCAAGGACCTTCATCAGCTGATTTCCCGTATCCAGCTCAGGGTCAAGCCAGCTGCTGCCTCAAAGGGTCCCCAGTGGCCCAGGTCCTTCACAGTAGGCAGTAGTTAGAACAGAGGGGGCAGAGAACAAGGGGCAGAGAAGGGTTATGTTCCACCACCTAAAGCTGGGCTGAGTCTGACTTCTGTCTCTAACTCCATATAAGACCTCAGGTGGGGGTGGGGGGCCGCTGGGGGGCTCAGATGGTTAAGCATCTGCCTTTGGCTCAGGTCATGATCCCAGGGTCCTGGGATTGAGCCCCGCATCGGGCTCCCTGCTCAGCGGGAAGTCTGCTTCTCCCTCTCCCACTCCCCCTGCTTGTGTTGCCTCTCTCGCTTTGTCTCTCTCTGTCAAATAAATAAATAAATAAATCCTTAAAAAAAAAAAAGACTTCAGGTGGGTCTCTCTCTTTGAGCCTCAGTTTCCTGTTTGTAAAGTGAAAATGATATCTGTCCTGCATACTCTAATTAGCTAATTGACTTAGGGCATTGTCCCCTACCTGGTGCCTCAAGCTACGGGGAGACACTGGGTCCTGTTTTCATACAGCCTAAATCCATGGACATGCTTAAGATGTGGCTCATTCTGGCCCCTTTATTCCTACCCCAGCATGGACCCCTAGCACCCACACCTTAGAAGTGGCCCTGGGCATCCCTGGCCAGTCACATAGCCGGCACCAGTCAGCTCAGGCCCGAGGAGAAGCCAATGATGGGATGGTTCCGGAAACCATGGCAGGTGGCAGGTGACGGGCAGCAGGTTGCTCTGGTCCCTGCCTCTTCGGGGAGTCCTGCTAAAAAGAAACAAAACCGGGGCGCCTGGGTGGCTCAGTTGGTTAAGCGACTGCCTTCGGCTCAGGTCATGATCCTGGAGTCCCGGGATCGAGTCCCGCATCGGGC